GCCTGCATTTGGCGGGTTGTATATCATTTTTCGAGGTTTTTGTTTTCTGTACGCCTTTTTATCCATCTTTCGCGGAGAATGGAGCTGCGTTGGAGTGTTTGATAGTATTTTGGGTGCTGTCATATCGCTACACCATACAATTTGCAGAAAGAGAAAGCTGAAAAGGTTTTGAGGTTAATGTGTTACAAATAAATCAAGCATAAAGCTTGAGATATTATTTTAATCTATTGAAATGTAAATGTCACAGGGCACGAAACTATATTAGTTTCTTTTTTTTTAAATCCATCTAACCGGACCATAGAACGGGACTCTCAATGCCTTGACTTCCGGGTATCCGGGAGATAAGTCAGTAAATTCGAGTAAAATCACAGGCTTCGCTTATCCCGTGCCAATGCACCACACGAAATTCAGATGTGGGGAGGTCATTTCAAAATCACACAAGGTCCCCAGATAATACTAATCTCGTGCGAATAGGGCTTAAGTAAACAACCATCCAGAACCATTGAGAAACGCCCTATATTCCACCCAGAAACAAGCATCCACCTAAAACACAGCAACTAGAAAACCCTACACTCTAAAAAATGCTGGGTTAAATACAACCCAGTGCTGGGTAAAATAGGGACAGACCCAGCAATTGGGTTGTTTTGACCCAGCGCAATTGCTGGGTCTGTCCCTATTTTACCCAGCACTGGGTTGTATGTAACCCAGCATTTTTTAGAGTGTAGCAATCATCTACCAACCCACCCAAAAAAAAACAAAAAAAACAACAACAACCAGAACACCTTTGCAGTCGCACATCAATGCAACAACTACTCTGCAACAGCATGAGAAATGGCACAAGACATAAGACAAATCTTCTTGGCAAATTGAGCTGAGTGGAATGTCTAAGTCACCTGCTTATCTTCACATGAATGCAGACGGTGCCATTCGGCCATCACAGCAGGAGTTGTGTGTCATCACATACTTGTGTGTGTATATTTGTGGCCATAGCAACTGATTCTCTCTAAGTTTGGTAAACTGGATCCAGCCCTCAATCCCTCGAGCACAAAGGAAGACAGTGGCTATAGGGTACACTTTGCTGGCTCCTGCGGTTTGTTTTTTTTGCTGTTGTCTTAAGGGATCGAGCAAAGTTTAGGTCAATTGCAGGTCAAAACAATTGGTGTTTATTTATTGGCCTTAGGGGAAGACTACAGAGAGAGAATGTAACTATCCACCCTCGATCGCCCACACTCATCCATTATGCAAATGTTTCAAGACATGCTGGGGAATAGCCTCCAAAATTCTGCAAAAGAACAAAATAAATTAGGTTCATTTTTGGTGTGGCTGTTTAGATCTCTATAGCCACAATGGAATAGTCAGATGGATATTGTGTTGTGATTGATTATACACTGAAATGGATTAGTGTGAAACTGTATTATAAGTACAAGGAGAAAATATTGAAAGATGCATGCACGTCTGCAGAAACACCAGTCCCAAAGGTGTAACAAATTCTAGATTGGCAAAGAATGGTGTATATGCAAATGAAAGAAACATTGGCGTGTTCAGAAAATAATGACATTTGAATGTTGATTCTGACCAAGAAACATAGCTCAGTACATCTTGTTTAAACATTCATTCTTTGATTTGTCTGTGATTTACATATCCCAGAGGAAAATTAAAATGCTTGCTTCTCAAAGCTTTAAATATTTAATTGAGACCTTAGTTATGTTTCATTGAAGTATCAATATTGCATGAAATAATTATCCTAAAATCTCATAAGAGAAATAAAATAGATACAAATTGGACACTTTCTGGGATGCAGTAAGAAAATTGAGCTAAAAGTTGATGACTATCATAGCCAAGATTATTTGGACTTGCAATAATTTTATAAGAAATGTCTGAGTTCATATTGAGATATTTTGATAAAACACTTGGAATTTGGCAAATATGAGCACATCTTTTCTGAAACTCCTAGAGAAGATGCATTTGAGTTTACTGGGGTCTTGAGCAAGTCACTATGTGGTTACTATTTAATCTCAGTGTAAAAGAAACAAAGATATTTTTTCTTGCCCATGGGATTTTACAATGATTAAAGACTTCAGATTTTCTTTAACATGACCCATGTTTAAGGCTGACGTAACCACCGAACAAGAACTAGAGGAAGGTTGGCAGATACCACATTTCATCAAGAGTAGCAGTCCAGACACTTTCACTGTATGGATTTCCCCAGCTGTTATTTTAAACCCAGCCTGCTCACAGAAAGGGGCTTTCTCAGACAACAAGGCTCACATGGCGTGACCAGCATGACTCTCTAGCAGCCTTCCGTTGGATATAACATTACCGTCTAAGCATGCAGATAAGCAGATTAAACACTTGCAGCATGTTATAGAACAGCATATAGCTTAGGTATGTGAAAGAAACCAGGCCTTTCTGTCTGGAACGTAGACGGGAATCAGATGGAGCATGCTCCAGTTAAAAAAAAAACAAAAAAAAACTTGGAGCCTGCATTGTGACAGTCTCCAAGGTTTTCAGGCTTTTCTTGAGAAGTGGTCGCCCATTGTTATGAGTTCTTCAGAATATGTTGGCTCTTTTCCTATACCTTTACTCATATTTATGTATGCTTTCATGGAAGCTGTGCAATTTTTCTACATTTGGTATGGTGAATGGTGCAAGACCCCCTGAAAGTAAGGCCATCTCCACACGCACATGGGTATTTTTATAAACAGAGTTTTTCCTTCTTTCGTTTAAAAAAAAAAAAATCTCTGTCCACATGAAAATGCAAAAGCATGCTATGAAGCACTGTCAAGAGCATGCCAAGCCAACAGGTGGCGATATAATCTATATAAACCATAACGATATAAACCATAAAGCCATGTTGGCCAATCCGAAGCCTGAAAAAGTTTCCAACTCAACAAAATAATGTTTGCAACTTAAAAGGTTTAATTAAATTATTAAATTCGAATTTTTGCAGTAACAGGTCCCCTGAATAATTGTTTTAAAGTATACACACGTATGTCTATTTCATGCTGATGAGAGCCTAGAGTCACAGAATGCAAGCTAAAGGCAACAGGGACCAGGGGAAAAAATACCTTACTTCAGTATTCTGTATATTACATCAGTATTCTGATGTAAAACAAAATATTGAATGAGAAAAGATAGAGGGTGGGGCTAGATTTTTGCGCACTTCTTTGCCATTTCTACACTGCTGACAGTTGGACGCAAAGTTTAAGGATGTTCTGTCCAAGAAATGTAATTGTAAATATGATTTTTTCAAATGTTTGTTAGCATTACATTCCCTTGCTTGGCTCAGCACATACAGAGTATTCACACTCTATTCTTAAATGGTTCAGTTGAGCCATTTTATGAGGTGAGAAATCCTGTAGCTCCTGCCATAAATCCCCATTTTATTGCTGAATGTTTAAAGGGGTGGTTCATTGCAATTTCACTTTTTTAACGTTAGTTAGTGTCTAATGTTGCTGTTTGAGCATAAACAATATCTGCAAAGTTACGAAGCTGAAAGTTCAGTGCAAACAGATATATCGTCTTTTAAAATTCTGGCAGTTTAATACCTACAAAACGGCTGGGAGGGACTACAACAAGTTACTTCCCGGGTTTGTGACATCACAAGCCCAGAAAAACCCCGCCCTCAGGAAAAGGCAGCAAAGGGGGCGAGGCCATGCTGCGCTGCTTTAGAGAAGAGGAAGCGAAAACTAGAGGTGCATGTAAAAATCTATTCATATATGAATCGCATCTTCAATAATATCCTCTGCTTCTCAGTCGGGCTCAAACTGATAGCTCGATATTAACATGCAGTTGTTTACAATACAACTGGAGCACATGCTGCCGAGGTGAGGGGCGAGACGCTTAGACGCGCTAGAGGCGGTTTAGCCAATCACAACATACTGGGCTAGCTAACCAATCAGAGCCCATCGCCTATTTCTGAGGGAGGGGCTTCATAAAAGAAGGAAATGATCAGCCCGTTTCTCAGAGAAAAAACAGAGAGGTGTGGAATAAAGGTAAATTATGTGAAAAATAATGCGTTTTAAAAAAAACGAAGCATTAACACATGTTAGACTGCACCCCATAAACACAATCAAGCCTAGAAAAAACCCAGTGAACCACCCCTTTAATAATGTTTTCCACTCTGACATGAATGAGGAAAAGACGCTGACCTGTTGTGACTTCCCATTCAACCCGATTTCCACCAGAGATATTTAGAAAACTACCCATGTTGTCCCTACCTTAGAGAAGGTGCAGTGTTTATTATTTCAGTGGTAAAATAATTTCTTCTAACCCAGTTTAGTGTGCAAAGACAGCTTGTATTGTGACACCTTTGAACTTGGGCTCTTCGTTCTCTATACCAGATTGTTTAAGCCAATCACCTGAACCAAATGACTTTTAAATGTAAATCAAAGCACTGAAGCATTTTTTTTCTGAAGGCCACACCATCACATGCAAGAGCAATTGAGGTTTTAATCTACATTCTTATCATTTGTTTTTAATCTGTAGAGTTGTAAAACCTGCACTGTGTTACAGTGTTACAGATGACGAACACACATCCTGTTTCTTTCTCTCAAGTTTGCTTAAGATTTCTCTGGGGCTGTTTTCCAAACCCGAGAGATGATGGACGATTGAAGTTACCCGGCCCTTCACACCCCAGTCTGGAATTTATTTTCCCACACTGCTCTACTAGAGAGTCTGTACCTGCTCACTGGCACGTCCAGCGGAAATGTAGCGGGTGTTTGCGAAACTAAGACCCACTTCTGCTAACTAACCATCAGCACCACTGTTACCGCCATCATATGTAACACTCCTGCCGAAACCATTTCAGATCATGGTGATTTTAACTTTACTGTGCATTTATTTTCCTTAAGGTTTTTGAGGAATAGAATCCAGGAATAGTAGTGTTTCTACACTTCAACACTCTACGCTCAAAAAAAGGTCATACTGTTTTACTTTGCCAGACATTTCCTCGTTTTTTCTAACATACACATTTTATTTCTCAATTTTCTTGTCACCAGAAAAACTACTTGTACTTGCTGTTGCAACACAGGAGACGGATGGCTTCCACCGCTTCATGCAGTCAGCAAACTACTTCAAATTCAATGTGAAGGTAAGGTTTATTTCTCAGTTTTACCAATCGCACAATGCAAGGTCGACCACGCTTTCATCCAATTGTGCAAGACCACTGCTTCTCACCTGACGGATGCTTCATTTCTTCAAGCTGATAGTATAATGTTGATTGAGATTCTGTTTGAACTGGTACATTCTGAACGCAGGTGCTGGGGATGGGAGAGGAGTGGAAGGGAGGTGATGTGGGTCGATCCATCGGTGGAGGCCAGAAAGTTCGACTGCTAAAGGAAGCCATGGAGTCTCTGGCTGACCAAGAGGACTTGGTGGTCTTATTTGTGGACAGGTAATGTGCTTTTCATTTGAAGGGTTGAAAAAAATGGTTGGATGATATTAAAAGAAGCTGGTTTCTTTTAATAGATTTATGGGCTTATAGAGGATTTGGGAACTTTTCAGATGGTCAGCTAAACCAAATGTGTACAATTTAAACCAGCTAAGATCACATTTTAACAAGTGTAATATACAAATATGGCCTTTTCTACCTGATTTAACCCTTAGTAAAATTAATTAGCTAGATATTCTGACATGAAACACATTTTTTTCAGGATGCTCAGCCAAGATGTACAGCTGATGTACTTTTAACAGACTTCTCACCACACTAAATCTTGGGTTAACATTGTTTTGTATTTTAAACAACTGGTTTAAGAAACATTTAACCAAAGTCTCTCACTTTTGGGTTAGCACCACTTTGCACTCTATGTTATCAAACCTGTGATAACTCTAAACTGCACTGCATGGCAACTACTACTAATAGTGGGTCAAGTATGAACAGTCTGAAACATGCAGGATTATGATTGCCAGGATAGCCCAGGATTCAAAACCTTTCTTAACAATCTCATGTGTGACAAGCCCCCGATTTAAATGGCATCTGATTTACTGGACAGTAAAAATACTGGTCTATATACCAGAGACAGACAAAGATCCAGTATTAATTTCTCTATGTGGAGACTAGCTGGGAATAGACTCTAATTTGCCACAAAATACTTTTTAGTAATTACCTCTAATTGAAAGTAAATGATGCCAGGAAAATACCTTGTCTAGATATAGAAAAAATGACTGGTTAAATGCATAGCTTTGTACAATGTAAAAAGTATCTTTTCATCAACTATAACAAATGTGTCATGCTTATACTGTACATTTTCAACAGCCTCAGTGGGAGAAATCACTGCCAACTCAATGGGAAACAACAAGACTATGTGTGAAGGCAAAACGATTGGGCATTTGTTCAGCAATTTTGTAGACCTACCTTAATAACCAATGCTCTTGCTGAAATGGTGGCTTTTAACTCAATTTATGATAATCAACCATGATAAATGGCCTGTTATTTAACTTGATAATTCAAGGGAAATTACGGCATGTCAATTTTGGCGAGAGGTACATTTTTTTGTAGTTGTTGTGGTGCAGGTCTGGGTGTGTTCTGCAGAAATGAGCGATTATTATGATCACAAAGTAGAAAAATATTAGTGTTTACTTCAAGTTAACTTCACACGTACATGCCACGTGCAGTGCTGTTTTATCAAGGGGTCATTCATATAAAACACAAATCGAATCAAGTCCTCATCACAGAACTCTTTGAGCTCTATAGCAGCTATTTATACACACCCATATATGGAATTACACATATTTCTAGGTCTCCTAAACAGCTTAGAGTATAGAAAGTTCAGAATAACAACATTCAGGGCTGTACGTAAGAGAATAGTTACCCTTATGTATAACCTAAACATTTAGGTAAGGAGCTAGCAAATCAGAGTTCAGGGTTCATCTGAGATAACTTTTACAGTAATAGATCCTTTAGAGCTGTAGTTCAGACCATTTTGCCACGTTGAAGCTATGTCACATATTCCAGAGATTAATTTTAATTCTGACATGACAACTCTCGGAGGGATTGGCATGGTAATGTACATGACAATGTTAATGTATTT